ATGATGATCTCTCTGATTTGTTGCCGTTGATGGGCTCATCTTGCAGATTTTCATAAGAGAAAACTGAAATAATTCTGCAGCAACAGATAAAGCCGTATTACGCATGAGTACAACGATGATATCAGACGTGGAACATGAAGGCTGGTGGCCTGTTTCATCTAATAGCTGGATGCATAGTTTAAGCTATGGTGTAATGGACACAAAATTTTCAAAAGTGAGGGAAAACGCAGACGAAATTTTCTACGTGATCAGTTATCATTTTGATTCAACATTATTACATGTTTCATATCTCTTTTGATCCTTCTGGTATTAATCAATATTCACAACTGTTGGATGAGTGGGCGAATACGATTTTAATGCACGATTTAAAGCCTTATTTTGATAAATTAGAGCTAAGCATACTGTTCCATTGAAGCCTAAAAAAGAACAATTTTCAAAATTTTCATCTCTCTTACGTCAAGCTTTATTAGCGTTTTATGGACAAGAAATGAAACGCTTAGATCTCCCGAATCATTCAATCAAGTGGAGCTAAACTTGCTGAGTAATCCGAATTCAGTAAGATGCACCACCACACAAAATTCAAAAGCCGCTAGCTATCATGATTCTTGGATTACAGGGATGACTCTAGTATTTCAGAGTACTGTGCAAAAGACTTTTGTCTTTTTAAACGTCATGTATTCTCTTTTTCATATTGTCGTTCGTACATAACATTTGGCACACCGGCGTAAAAATTTTTTACATCATACTTTCCTATTTTCTATTTTTTTGTATGATCTTTACAACAAAGATGGCTTTTGCGCGTTCTCTTTGTTTATATATGTTTGATTCCTTCGGTTTTTCACGAGGATTGTCACTGCTTCAGTACAACTAATTTCGTGAAATAAATGAAATTCTCTTTGGAATGAATGAAAGTGATGGCGATTTTGTTGCTTTTTATCATATTGTTTTATGATTTTCTTTACTTTGATTTTTATTGTGAAATGGAACAGATAAGAAAATAAAAACAAAACTGTATTGCCAAAAACGACATATACAATCAAGAGTAGGAAATAGATGTGCGAGAGGAGCCGGATCAATACGATCTGGCAAAACTCCCAAAAGATCCTGTCACTTCGTACATGATAATACAGGATCTTACCAAATCCTGTGTAAGATCATATAGGATCTTGTGAGATCCTATTAAATCCTGCATAATTTTATGACAGGAAACGATAGGAACTTCCAGGATCCTATTGTAGGATTCCTACGAGTTTTCCTATGTCCAGATTACATATATGTTTCCTATAGGATCATACCAGGAGTGCGTAGGATCCTATAAGATCCCACACGATCCTATGTCAGGATCCGATAGGATCTAATGGAATCTGATAGGATTCTTTGACCTGAAAACGTGTGCGCTTAAATTAAATAAACTTGAGTATGAATTATTTCTCTCGTGTTAGATCTTCAGTGAAAATGGGCTGCATAGTCACGCTCAGCTCATTCAAGTACTCTTGTGTGTGTAATAACTCTTACACGGCGATTTTTATGTAAAAAGTGTACATGGCTTTTTTGTCATTCTGACAATTGTTGACTATGTATGAATATTCGTTCTTTCGGCATGTTTTTTCAGTTTTTACTGAATAAAAATGAAAACAACAATAAAAAATGTGTATAAGACTACGAATGAAGAAAAGAACAAATTTTTTCTCTTCTCTCAGATAAAACTGAAAATGCAAATAGTATATATAACTTTATACTGCGTAATAAAAAATAGTATGAAGGTGAAATTTTAACATAATAACGCTAGTAAGACACACGTGCCGCTGAAATTTAAGTTCTTTTAAGCGACATGCGTTACACTTTACCTGAGCGTCCGAGATGTAGCATTATTGTACGTCGACGGCCGCGTTTATTCTTGATAATAAGATCATACGCTTTCCTTTAATAGTAATGGTTCACATAAAAGAACGATAATGGCAAGATCATCGGTTACTAGACGCTTTCTGTATGTTTTTAAACATATAAACTATATGAAGTTTTAAAGCAGATCCTTATAACGTCTGAGTATTAAAATTCGGGCGAGAATCTACAGCTCATCTTTCAGTATTTTTGTTTTCTTATAGAATAATGAGTCGTCGACAGCAACCTGCTGACCCTCTTCTTGATGTGTACCAGTGTGTAAGTGACAATAAAGATTTTGATACTGTTTATGACGACATATCAGCGCATCCTGAATGGTTAACAACGTTTGCTAACGGTAAAAATTGGTCTGTTTTACATCATATTGTTGATCACGGTAATGTTCAACAATTGGAACGTTTATTAGAACTACAATCTAATAATATTCAGTTTCGTCTTTTAACAAAAACAAAGGATGATAATTTAACCGTATTGGATATTGCAAAAAGAAATTCAACAAAACATCCGGCTATGTTTCAACGAATTGATCGACTTGTTAAAATGGATGAGCTTTTAAATCATGCTAAAGAAAGGCAATGGCCACAATGTAAACAATTGATACAAGGGTGTCCAGAAATTTTAAATGAAAAACCACCGTATAGAAAATATTATGTTTTACATCATATTGGACATGTAGGTGATAGAAGATTTTTTGACGAATTACACAATCAATATAAATTCGATCTAAATCTATCCGCTGATAAGGATAAAACAGTGTGTGAAATTGCCAATGAGAATGGTCACCAAGATTTTGCCAGTTACGTAAAACAATTAAGATCGACACAATCTACAGATACAACTTCTTCTGCCGCTCGGAGGTATATTTATCATTTAAAATGATACATAAAAAATAGAACTATTGTCATGTTCATTTGCAGATCAAATACTGGTAAAACCGTTACTAATCCAAGTGACGATGAAGCACAACTCCTTGCCGCTTCAACAGAGTGGATTAGACGGTTTAATATGGCCGATTTTAAGTATGTAGTCAATGCCTATTTGCCCACTGCAAAATTGTATGCTCGTAATGCTGGTGTTGCATCATTACCACTTATTGGACGAGAACAAATTTTCGAGTTTTGGGATAACTTTTACAAGGCAACTGGTGCAGCAAACTTAATATATTATGATCGAAAAATTGTTATAACTGGTCCAGGTCGTGGTGAATCATCATCGAGATGGACAATGAATGTTGGCGATGGATTTATTGACAAAGAAACGTGGGTGAGAAATCAGGAGACTGGAATATGGTCCATTGCCTTTGACGATTTTACAGTAGAACAAAATTATAAGAATGGGTATGTTGAAAAGGGTTTAGTTTTTAGTCGACTTCTTAAAAAGAAACTGTTTTTTTGATGGTTCGTAAACTCTTTTAGGTTTGTGAAGTGGAATAGGAAATCATTGAGGATTTGACAAGGCACTTTGGTGATCGAAAGGGTACTTTAATAAGGTATTTGGTACCGGACTCTCAGGAACCCAACAGATTTTTGAGGAAAATGTTCGAAAACCAAAAGGGTATTATCCGAAACCCTTCTGGAACCTAAAACTTCTGCGAAAAACCCTAAAGGTTTTTGAATATATCCTTTTAGTTTCCGAGAATACCTCCTTGAGTATCTGAAAATTTTTTTTACAAAATTCTTCGGTTTGGGAAGCCTTTGCGTTAGAGATCCCTTTATTTTAAGTGTTTTATCAATGATCCAAAGTTCAGTTGCATCACAGAAATTAGACCGTTCGAGTATCTGGGGATTGTCCATAGCTCTTCGAAGATCCAGTCTTCTGGAGAATCAATTTTTCAGAAACTCAGAAGCTAATTTATTGGTCTGGAGAGAGTTATTTTAGAAACATAAAGGGCTCGCTAAAAAAAGCTAGCGACATTTTTCAGTAGGTAACTGCTTGTTCTGTTCATGCGCATCGTAATCGTAGTACTGAAGATAAGAAAAGCCCTAGTGAATGTACTTGAATTCGTATAAGAAATAAAAGAAAATGACGTACTTCTTTCGTTATAGTCGTCAGAGAATTTCTCTTCTTTCTTTGGTTTCTAAACTCTTTCGGCCCATAGTACACAATATGACAGAAAGCTATATCAGTCTTCGTCGAGCACCAATACATCAATGGTACGTGTCTCGCTCTCTATTCTTTACGTCTCATGTTCGAATCCGCCAGTCGTCGTCATTCGTAAGTAATAATTGTTCTGCTACTTCTAGGGAGAAGAATAGAGATATCTTGAAGAAAATGAACTATATAGACAGCCATATTGATAGTGACACATAACATTCTTTTTTTTTTGTTTTTTCTGAAGTTTTGATAGCGCGTTTAAACGTTTTTATCTTAAAAAAACGCGTTTGAACGCTTCAAATGTTTCATTTCTAGGCCGTTTTTAAACGTTTGATGAACAAAACGCGTTTGAACGCTACTTGCCAGATAAACGCGTTCGAACGCCTTGGTATAGAAGCGAAACAAAAGGCGTTTGAACGGTGCAAATGTTTCATTTTTAAGCCGTTTAAACGCGTTTGGGTCGCGTTTATAAACGCCGTTCGTAAACGCGTTTTATAGAGTCGAAATTGTTACATGGGTAGCTTTGAGCTGACAATGAACAGTTTAGGACTCTTCTTATAAATTCTATTAATTTGCAAAGAAAGGTCGTATAGAGCTGGGGTTTCATTTTAATCAGAAATTTGCGCGCTACAATCCTAAATTGTTAAGAAAGGCTTGGGTTATTATTTGGGGTTTCTGAAAAACTGGTTTTTGCAGCAGACTGGATCTTCGAAGAGCTATGGACAAGCCTCGTGGTCATATTCAGAATCAGCGTGGTCGATAACCTATAGCCCACTAGATGTCGATCAAAAAGCGATTTATCACCTCGGGAGGTTCCCTCGTTAGCTTCAACTGATCCTCTAGTATATACGTCGCATTCTGTTTTACTCGGTTTTGTCCTCAAGAACAGAATGCAATGAGCGATAGAAACAGGTTCAACTGGAATAAAAGCGATATCATTTGCTCCTTCTCAGTTCTAGCCCTGAACACTTTTGGAAGAAAACTTATTTGTCTTCCAAAGAGCTTCTCTTCAAACCTGAACAGTAGCCTTTTACTTGTTCCACCTGCTGAAGTCTGTTCAACAACTGGTAAAAAGCCGTTAATCCCCTCCGAAAGGTACTCCCTAAAGATATTTTCAAACCATGCCAAACAATTTGTGTATTGCAAAACTTAAGTAGAAAATGAAACAACTATTAATAGAACATAAAATACCTCAGTATATCTCCCATTTTATTGCTAATGGAAATCCTCAGCTGAAACGAGTAATAATGGTGAATGTTGTATTGTCCCTTCATCCAAGTAGACGCGAAAACGTAATAGTCATAGCCTTAGAGAGTGTAATATAAAATAATTAAGGTAGATAAGCATTTTTAGGATATCCGTTCGAAAACCTTTTTTTTTTGACCTGGTTTTTAATTATTTGGTCCTATTTTGAGAAAAAATTAACTTGCCCGTCTAAAACTAATGAGACCTTAACTCTACATATATATAGTGCTCGTAAAACGGCACGTATCTATTGTAGAGAAAGCGGTTTAAAAAAAATTGATAAATTCGTCTTTTGTTTTTCCTTTCTATCTGTGCTGTCACTAGAGGAAAAACATGTCAGTATTGTTCTGTGTTATGGCTGAAATAGAATGGTATGCATCTCATCAGTTATTATCAAGTTATTATCAAATTATATTCGAACGCGTAATAGCTCATCTTGTAACGAATTTGTTTCTTTACGAACTTGTTATCTTCGAAGAACTTTAGACAGCACTATAATAAGCAGATGAGTAGCCGTATTCCAAGGTGGCGTCAGTGAACGCGCAGAGTAAGGCGGTTTACAAGACATGGGATCGATTTTAATTTACCTACAAGTAGGTATGCACCGGTTACAGTTTTTTACCAGTTAACTGTGCTTGTAAAACTGCTGATAACTGTAACTGCGCATAACTCTAGACAAATATTCTAGAGTGAGTTAGTCGTTTACGATTTGTGAGAGTAGAAACTCAGTTTTTACGCATTAGTATTATTTTTTATTTTTTATTTTTATTTTATGCATATTATTATTTTTTGAGAATTTTTTTCACCTTATTCTTTCAGAGGTGGTGACGTTACAAGCTTTTTTCTTCATCGTACGAAGACTTATTTCACTCATTGTACATGATGGACTATGCTAATTACGAAAATTATTCTTACTACTTTATTTTTGTAGACTTTCTAAGGTCACCAAAAAGGCTTCTTTTAACATTGTGTTAAGCAAAAAATGTGATATTTGTAATCCGAATGGTGAACGCCATTTACGTCGAATAAATTTTAATTTCTATTTGTCAATAGTAACCTCAAACTCTCCGGTTGCAAAGTTATAATTTCATAAAACTGAACCAATATTTTTGCAGTACAACTCATCTCAAAATGTAAAGCAGGTGAGTATTTTTGAAAAACTGTGGTGTGAAAAAAGATGAAGGCGTGACATTTTTTCCATTCGATAGTTAATACTTGGATGCGATTAAATGCGCAAATTAGAGAAGAAGAAGAAATGGAGTTTATTACCAAACAGATTCATTCAGAGATGTTACCTACGTAAGAGATGTATTTTAATAACTATTGGCGTGCAGAATCTAGAATTTTTTGATCATATAAGTCGATTTTGCTGAAGATATAATATTTTTATACTGTAACAGAACTGTATATTAGAACTGCGACAAATAGCGATTTTCTTTTCTTGTTCACGTTATATATAGTGTGTGCGCACGTTACAATGTGCGTTATCAACTACGTATGTTTGATGTATATAACATATATATTAAGACTGTTGTCTGCGTGATGTCACGTTTCTTCGTTCTTTTTTCTTCATACTAATCGAAGAGTATACATCACCTGAGATGTGCGCCGGCAATTCACCGATTTAACGCCGCCGCCACTGAAGGCGGAGAAAAATTGCTGTGACTTTCGCCGCCGCCGCCACCATGCAGTTAAACTTTTGTCGTCGCCGAAGGCGAAGAAAAATGTTTTCCGAAAATTCTGACTATTTTTGTTAGTACATTCTTACCTTAGGCATCTAGCATGCAGTGCGTTTCTATCTTTTCGTATACGGCAACGTACAGATACGGTTGGTGCGCGAAGAACTTGCCACAAATGAAAGAGAACGTTGTTTTATTTAAATTAGCAGACAAATTTGTACACGCCGCCGCTGAAGGTGAATGAAATTTTCATAACCTTGCGCCGCCGTCTATGTTAAAAATTTCATTCGCCACCACCGAAACTTTTTTAGCGGCGCACATGCCTGTACATCATAGCATATAGATATGGAACAGATATATGTCTTCTTGTATGATATATGTATAAACTCTTCGGCCAAGCAACTAAGTAAACATTGTCATGTGCTTCAGCCTAGGCGTTGTAGTCGTTTGCGATGTATCTAACAGTCAACAGATACCAATCGCAGGACTCAGATATAGAGGACAAAGATCTATGTCGGCTTCCATTTCAAAGAAAGAACTTCGGACTACCTAGACATGAAAGATGATCAAGAAATTTTTATTACAGATTTTTAATCAATAATAGGTCTTCCAAAGAGCTTTTTTAAAGCTTACTTAAGAGAGCATTTTTTAAAGTTGTCTTTTGGAAGAAAAGAAGTTCTTTACACATTGGCTGTCAAGTGGCAGGATTTGATTGAAAGTATGTGCAGAATTGTTCCGATTTAACTGATGATGCTGTAATCCATAGTAGGGATTAAAATCCATTGCACGTTTCTCCTGTCTTTCTTGTATGAGTTGCATCAACTGTTGTCAGTATATGATGATACACGGCATATGAAAGTATGTGCCCTCTGATTATTAAAGCATTTGATGGAATCTCCAGATATTATTGCAAAAAAATGATTTTTGGCGCGTTTGTAATATGTTAACCAATTACTTCTGCATTGAAACATAAATTGTTTAAGGTGCTGAGTTTGCTGCAAATCATTCAAATGCTATCGTTTTTCTCTGTATCAGGAAGTTTACCACGGATTTTCTTGCTGTTTGTTTTGTTTTCAACGTTGCACTCAGTATTCTTGTTAAGGCTGTTGACTTACGAATGAAGAAAAACGACTGTCTGTTACAGCATAGAAAATAAGAACAAGGGAAGGCAACTGACACTTGCAGCAGAGAGGAAATTTTCCGAAGCCCATCCGAATTAATTGATTGTACTGAACTATAACTAAATAATGGTTTGCAAGACGCATGTAAAAAGAAAATTTTCAACTACCAAAAAGCAAATAAGAAAACTACAGGGTGACTGCACCCTAAATTTTGACGCTTCGAAAACGAGTCGTTAAAAAGAAAACTGTTTTATTGTTATTCCCTCCGCTTATTTCGGGTCAAATGAAAGAAGTGTCTATCTGTTTGTCTTGCTTACACGACAGAATTCAAGATTAAGTACCCCAAACAACTGAAACTTACAGCACAGAGAAAATTTTCCAGAGCCAATCCAAATACGATCACGAGCATCCTGCGACATCGGTTCCCTCTACTTTAAAGTGTTCCTTCAACTTTGTCACTTGATGCTCTTCGACCGAGGAATGTGCTGCATAAAAGCGGGAAAAAGCGCAAGAAAGACGCCTACTCTGATTCGCTATGTCAAGGATCCGAGTGAATTGAAGACAAATGTTGTGTTACTGCATAGGAAATGATTTGATTCAATTTGTTTGTCGTTTGTAGACCAACTACTGGTAAAACCGTTACTAATCCAAGTGACGATGAAGCACAACTCCTTGCCGCTTCAACAGAGTGGATTAGACGGTTTAATATGGCCGATTTTAAGTATGTAGTCAATGCCTATTTGCCCACTGCAAAATTGTATGCTCGTAATGCTGGTGTTGCATCATTACCACTTATTGGACGAGAACAAATTTTCGAGTTTTGGGATAACTTTTACAAGGCAACTGGTGCAGCAAACTTAATATATTATGATCGAAAAATTGTTATAACTGGTCCAGGTCGTGGTGAATCATCATCGAGATGGACAATGAATGTTGGCGATGGATTTATTGACAAAGAAACGTGGGTGAGAAATCAGGAGACTGGAATATGGTCCATTGCCTTTGACGATTTTACAGTAGAACAAAATTATAGCTAAAAGAAGTACTGTACCATCGGGATTAAGCTAATATGACTGTCTCGTTTATTTTAAAATATCTGCTGTATAGATGAGTTTCTACTTAATAAATTTATGTATGCGTGAACTTTCTCTATTCAGTAGTATGACTATGCTGTTCTGAAAAGTGTTGTTATATGTTAAGTATTATATATGTTATTGTTCTGTCTATGTTACGTTTTCAAGAGCATTTAACTACTCTGTTGTCTGTGCTTTTCGAGTTTATGTATTGAATTCCTAAAAATGAACATAATGTTGTTCAAAAGGTCGAAACAATTTTAGTTTTATTTAATAAACGAGAGTAAAATGAAACTCAAAATAGCTGCTGTTATTATAGTGTTTCTACTGAAGTTATTACTCCGTAACAAATTTACAGGTGATATTTGTAATCAGTAGGAAATTCTATATGTTGTTTATGCGCCTTTGAGAAAAATCTAAGAAAGAATGAATGTTTTCTAATAATCCTACAGGCGACAAAAAACCCCTGTGAAAATCTCGATCAGCAAATAGCGTAAAATGTATCTAAAAGCTCCCTGACACATTTCTAATCGGAAAAAATTCGAAAATATATGGACAGAAAACACCCTTAATATCATATATCTTTTATCCAATAAAACATGGCGTTTTTCAATATTTATTAAAGGCAATTCAATTGCGTGTATCATTACGTACGTCCGATAAAAGACGGCTGTTATGAGTACGGTCAATTCATACGATGGAATACTATACTTAAAGTACACTATACATACTTTGTATAGAATTACTTCTCGTCCTTTCCTCACGCGTTAGTTGCTTTAAATACTTCACATACTTTGGATAGTTTACATACTGTACATAGAATACATACCATACATACTATACATACTTTACATACTTTACACCCTCACTCTTATCCTGCATATTTTACATACTCGGCATACTTTAGTACTAACAATTCGCTCCCATAACCACAAAACGCGTACAACAAACCACAAGTCACTTTTCTCCTGTTGTCCCCACTAACCAACCAACTCTTGGCATGTTGTATAAACAGTCACAGTCAACCAACTCACCCCCACAGCCCCCCCACATCTCCCACGCATTCCCAGCAGTCTCAAAGTTCAAAAATCCCCAAAAGTCACAAAGCTACCACATTTCAACACAGCTCCCAGCCAACAAACTGTAAAAGTCTGAAAGTTGATGAATACTAAAAAGTTTCCAAACACATCAATTCCAAAAACATCTAAACGTTAACAAAAATCTACAAAGCTTCAAATAAACAAAAATTCTCACCGTTTCGTCCATTCTAAATGGCCTAAAAGTTCGAAAATCATAAAAAGTATTAAATCTAATAAATTCTAAAACGGTCCGCAGTAAATAAATTATACAAAGCCTACATTCTAAAAAATCTCAACGGTGAAAAATTCACAAATTCTAAAACGTCTCAAAATTCCTAAATTCTAGAAAATCTCAAAGTTCATCAATTCCAAAAACTCTCACAGTTCACAACTTCTTTCAATATGTCTCAAAACTCACAAATTATAAAAGTCTCAAAGTTAATTAATCCTAAGTATTCTCATAGTTCCGAAATTCGAGAAACTCACAAAATTCACAAATTCTAAAAACTCTAAAAATTGCTAAATTACAGAAAGAGTCAAACTGAATGAATTTCAAAAGTCGCACAGTTCATAAACTCTCAATGTAAGTAAATTCCAAGAATTCTCAAGGTTCATGAATTCCAAAAAGTTCATATATCTTAAATGGTCTCAAAGTGTATAAGTTGTAAAAGTTCTCGCAGTTCATAAATTCTAGGAATTCTCAAGGTAAATATATTCTAAAAGGTCTCAGAGTTAATTAACTCCAAATAGTATCGAAGTTCATAAAATTTAGTAGTTGGTTAATTCTGGAGGTTCATTAAATCGGAAGTTTCAAAGGATCTGTTTAGATTTCGCAGGCGGAGAAATGTTGTTCTCTGTTTCCAGAAAACTATATAAACTAAGTGTTTAACGGGTGGTGCATAAATAATGAGCCTCTCCGTATTTTCTCAATAAATCGGCCTGCTTTCATCGCAGAGACTTAATTTTTTTTTAAAGGATTCGTTATTCAATTTGCAACGAAACCGTGTGTTTTTATTAACGTAGATAATTTCCGTCATTTTTACAAACATTCAACAAACGAACAGTCCAAGAATTACAACTTTCTAAAAC